GCAGCAGCAGCTTGTGTGTAGAGACGCTCTGACTGGGCCATGTTACTGGGAGGTGGAGAGGAGAGCTTCATCCAGCAGTGACTGACAGAGGAATGAGAAGAAGTGCAGATGACTGTCAGTGCTGCAGAGTGAACTGCTCTGAGAACAGCTCCACTGTCAGACACAATGTAGAGTCCAGCATCATCCCTGTGTGTCCCTCTGGATCTGACAGAGGATCATCAGTGTATCTGGACTGCTCTGCTGCTGCTCTGTCCTTCTACAGTCTCTGCACAGTCTCTGTCTGACTCTGGCTACATTTTTGGCATTTATATTCTTGGTTGCTCTCTTTATATTTTCACATGCAAAATGTGCCCATCTTTGGCAAGATTCACACTGCACCTGGAAAGGAAAAATAAATGGCTCATATTCTGTTTGGTGAATACTATTACTCAACATTTTAATTATGATTGGCAAGTAATGATACTAAGACTTATGTGTTTCTTTTGTTTTGTTTTGTTTTACCATTTCAATCATGCTGCGGTTTTGGGTGCATAATGAATCCTCTGGACTTTGCTGGCACTGAGGGTTAGCAGTAGGATGGCAGGGAGGCATCTTCAGGTCTGTGCTGCTGTTCACCGTCTGACTGCGAGTTGGGTATTTTTACTTGTCACTGATATTTACATGGTGGCTTCTTCTGTACGGCTTGATATGGTCAATGCTGTAGTGATTTCTTAAAGTTGCTCCTTCTGTGTTTTTTAATCTCACACATTTGCCAGCGATGTCTTGAATGGTGTAGGGTCCTGAAAAATCTCGATCAAGTCTTCCTCCCTTCCTTCCACGTTTCGTGTTCAAGAGAAGAACTTCATCTCCAACGCTGTACACAAGGTTTCTGTACTTCTGGACTCGTCTAGCATAAGCTTCCTTTTGTAAGTCTTGGGACTTTGCCATATTTTCCTCTACAGTTTTTTTTAAACTTGCTCTTGTGCGTCTCTTGTAGAAGATACAAAGTCACCGTAACTCGACTCCTCAGGGAGAATGATGGAGGACAGCTAAAATTTTCACATTTTAAATTACAATTAGTCCACCACCAGCACCTTTGTTTTGGCCACATTCAGTTTCAGGTGATTCTCCTCACGAACCGACCAATCAGTCCTCTGTACTCCTCTTCCCTTCCCATTCCCTCTTTAATCCAGGATCTCAACCAGTTTGTTATGTTCTCTCTTATAACTTAACTGGTAAAGTAACAACACATTTTTGGTTGTTAGTAACTTACTTTATTAACCATGTTGTGGAACGGCACAGGTATATCAATGCGCACATGCACCACGCTTGGTGTTCTCTACTTTACCACAAAATATAAACTGATTTTACTAAATACATCACAGTTCCTCCCATCCAGCTTTGATGAACACATTAAGTATCAAACAATCGAGATATTTTCAGGTAAATGCCGTAACCCAATAATTGTACTTAAACTGAAATATGACACCTATTCAGTGATTTACAACATAGAGGTAGGTTGTTTCCTCTTAAACATTTTAACCGCTTTCCTTACAAAATGAACTGGAAACCTATAAGTTCAGTCTCTGAGGTGCTCTGCGATTTCTCTCAGGGTAATGTCTGCCTGTTTGGTCAGAGTCCATAGTGCTCTGTGTGGAAAGTTCAGGTGTTTGAACATTGGTGGTTTCACGTAAACCCTGAACCTCAGGTGGTGAAGCGAGGGCAAACTCTTCTGAATCTTGAAGTGTAGATGTGTCCTCTCGGGTTGCTCTGGAACCACGTGACATTCTGCATCTAGAATCTGATCAACATGTCTACACCAGACTAAGTTGGCTCCAACATTTATGGTGTATATCAGCGGTCCGGTCCGTGAACGAATCGTGCCAGAATGCCATTTCTGACTTGGGTCTCTGTAGTCTCTGGCGAGAACTCTTTGTCCAACATTGAAGAACCTGGTTTTGTTTCTTGTTGCTTCCACCATGGAAGACTGTTTATCTTGGACATCCTTGCGAATGTCTGGTTTCAGCAAATCTAGATGTGATCTCAGATCTCATCCCATGAAGAGCATTGCAGGTGTGTGTCCAGTTGTTGCATGAGTGGTAAGACAGTAAAAAAATTGTCAATTTTCTGTTGTAGCGGTTTCCCCTCTGTGCGACTGGCTGGTTCAGCTTTGTTGCAGGATGATGGTGAGCTGAAGTGATATGTCGTATGCCGTTACTCCCAAGGAAACACTGGAACTCCTCTCCAGTAAACTGATGACCATTGTCACTTACGAGCTGCTGTGGCGGACCTGTGCGTGCAAACGGTCACCAAAGACTATTGATCGTGCTGGCAGCTGTTGCTTGCTTTACGGGGAAGATTTCTGGCCACTTTGAGTGGGCATCAACCACAACCAGGAACATTTGGTCCATAAATGGGCCAGCATAGTCTATATGAATGCGTTGCCATGGAGCGGATGACCACTCCCACGCGTGTACAGGTGCTGTTTGAGGCTGGCGCAGCGTCTGCTGGCAAACAATGCAGGATTTAGCCATATTCTCCATTTCACAATCAGTGCCTGGCCACCAAACATAGCTTCTAGCAAGACCTTTTATCTTAACACCCAAATGTCCATCGTGCAGTGAGTCCAGTACCTTTGTACGTAGTTTGGGTGGCAGGATGACACGAGTTCCCCACATGACACATCCTTGGCAAACAGATAGTTGGTCTTTGTGGGTGGAGTACGCAGAGAACTGAGTGTCACTACAGGACGACCAACCATTCACAGTAAGATCATTTGACAAGATTGTGTTTTGGCTCGTTTCTCTTTTCACCTGAGCACTTGTGACAGGTAGGGGTTCCATTTGTGTAACATGAAACACAGTAGCTGGATCAGTCATTTCTTCGGTGGGTTGCATGTGTGGAAGACGTGAAAGTCCATCTGCATTTCCATGTAGCTTTGTCCCTTTGAACTCAATGGTGTAGGTGTGTGCACCCAGGAACAAAGCCCAAGCAAGCGTACGCAAGCCATGGTTGGAATACCTTTCTGAGGGTTAAAGATGGACACCAGAGGTCGGTGGTCTGTGATCAGGGTGAAGTGTCGTCCATATAAATACTGATTAAACTTCTTCACTCCCCACACTAGACTGAGTGTTTCTCTGTCTATCTGCGTATAGTTGTGCTCGGCTGCATTTAGGGACCTTGAGGCAAAGGCAAGTAGTCGTTCGGATCTATCAGGCATTTTGTGAGATAGCACGGCACCAATGCCATATGGTGAGGCATCACAGGCGAGGCGAAGTGGTAGATTGGGGTCAAAGTGTGTCAGAACCTCCTCTGATGTAATGAGCTGCTTAACTTAACTAAATTAAATGCCTCTTCATAGTTTTTTGTCCATTTCCATTCGACATTTTGTTGCAGCAGAGAGTTCAGCGGGTGCAGGACTGTTGAAAGGTTTGGTAGAAACTTGTGGTAATAATTAATTAAGCCCAAGAATGAACGTAGCTGACTCACATTTTTAGTGTCTGGTGCCTTCAGGACTGCTTCAACTTTGTCCTCGGTTTTGTGGAGCCCATGTCTGTCGATCTTGTGTCCACAATACTCAATGGCATCCTTGAAGAACTCACATTTGTTTTTGTTTGCTCTCAATCCATATTTTTCTAGCCTGGCCAGGACTGCTGTTAGGTTAGCCAGATGAGTCTCCTCATCAACACCAGTGACTATTATGTCATCCAGAAAACACTGTTCCTGGAATGCCTTGTAGGACCTGATCCATGGCACGTTGCCATACTGCTGGGACACTGGTGATACCAAATACCAGCCTGTTGTACTGATATAGGCCTTTGTGAGTGTTTATCACCACATATTTCCTGGATGTCTCTTCTACTTCCAACTGGAGATAAGCCTGGGCAAGGTCAGTTTTTGAAAAGTGTTTGCCACCTGCGACTGCTGTGAATATGTCTTCTATCCGCGGAAGTGGGTACTGATCTATGTGGAGAACTGGGTTCACTGAAACCTTAAAATCACCACAGATCTGCACTCTGTCACTTGCTTTCTTGCTTACTGATTGGTGTAGCCCAATCTGACCATTCCACCTTGGTGAGTATTCCTTGCTCTTCCAAGCGTTGGAGCTCTGCTTCGACTTTGGGGCATAAAGCATAAGGTACAGGACGTGCCTTGTGAAATCTTGGTTTTGCATTGTCCTCCAGTATGATCTGTGCTTTAATATTTTTCAGGGTGCTGATTCCATCTTTGATCACCTGGGCACGGTTATTAAGTTTCTGTTTCAGTCTTTCATCCACAGAATGTGCACTCGGGCCTCGTTCCAGTCTCATTGACATAAAGTTCCAGGTTGCGTTTCTTTTTCTCATATTCCACTTTCACTTTTCCCAGAGGAGTTATTCTTTCACCTGTGTATGTTTTCAGTTTCACCGAGGTGTGTTTCAGTTTCAGATTGGGGAATTTGTCTCTGTAATCTTCATATAAGATCAGTGAGAGGGCAGACCCAGTGTCCAGTTCCATCTGTAACTCAACCTCTTGTATTTTTGGTGTGAGCCATATTGCATCATTGTCTTTCTCTTGCATTGTGTACAGCTCCAGGCATGCCAAATCCTCCTGAGAATCATTTGAGTCTTTCTCAGTTACTTCATGCAGCTTTCGGTCTCTTTTGCACATTTAGTTTTTGTTTGATGCTGCGCAACAAGTTGTATGTTTTTCCTCCCATGACACTCAGGGGCCCGTTCTTCGTACCTCGCTAAGTAGGTTAGCCGGATTAGATTGTTGACGATTTCGCGTGATCCTGGATCAGTCGGTTCCCCGAAGCTCATCCGGGACTTGCTGTCATAGCAACAGAGCCGTAAGCGTAAACCTGCTCGGGAGCAGGTTTACTTTATGTAAACAGGATTAGATCGCGGCCACGCAGGTATGTCCGCGTCATCATACGAAAGCAACAGCGACATTCCGCCACCGTTTCACCACAAATAAATAACATCAATGTAACTAAAGATAATGCAGCACTTGATCCTTTTATTGATTCCACACAGATACATACAGGTCAGTCCCTAAAAAAAGGGAAATGTACGAGTAATCACGCTATGGCATGTAGGTGATCACGCCAGATGCAACACACATTCCACAGTAGAGGAATAGCAAATTACGTCGTGTAATCAAGATGACAGACCACGGCTATAAAAGCGAAGGTGGAAGTGGGAAGTTTGTCGCAGCCATGTCCTGTCCGTTTCTACGCGAGCCACCCATTGCGGAAGGTGCAAGAGTGATAAGGAGAGTGTTCAGAATCCAACGTATATTGCGGGATAGACAGGATCCTTTAGCACAGCGCGACAGTGTGCTCATAGAGAGATACCGATTTTCCCGTGAGGGTATCATCTACCTAACCAACTTGCTGGATCCCCATGTTAAGAGTACCACCCACCGTAGTCGGGCATTAACAACTGCACAAACTGTGTGCATTGCCTTGCGCTACTTTGCGAGTGGCACGTTCCTGTACACTTGTGGAGACGCAGAGAACGTTGGGAAAAGTGCCGTCTGCCGGGCCATTCGCAAAGTGTACCTGGCACTCAAGCATTTCCTGGGTGTGTTTGTGGTTTTTCCAAGCCACTTAAGACCACAGGTCGTCAAACAGGGCTTTTTCGCCATTGCAGGTACAGTAAATTGGATAGTGAATGTGATGCAATCATGACCTATGTCGGTAACTGTAGCTCCAACGTCCGCAGGCTTCCCGAATGTGATTGGCACCATAGACTGCACACACATTGCGATCAAGGCCCCCCAGGCCCCACTGAAGGGGACTTTGTCAACCGAAAGGGGGCCACAGTATAAATGTGCAGGTGAGCAATACTAACACTCCAGATGGCAATATACGATGGGAGGAGTGTGGTCACACATAATGGAATCCCACAGATGGTGTGTGACTCGATGTGCCATATCACAAATGTGGAAGCAAAATGGCCCGGATCAGTGCATGACTCACGGATCTTCAGAGAGTCAGGGTTATGCACATCATTTGAGCGTGGTAAGTAAAAGAGGCTTATGTTGATGCCACATACTCATGTCGGGCCTAACATAACAGCATTTCTTCATTACACAGGGGCCTATGATGGGATCCTCCTCGGAGATAGAGGTTATGCATGCAGGCAGTACTTCATGACACCGTTCCCTGACCCCAACCCTGGGCCACAAACCCGCTACAATGCAGCCCTAGCCAGGACAAGGGCACGCATTGAAATGACCTTTGGGCAACTGAAGGAACGATTCCAGTGTCTAAAACGCCTGAGGGTTGCACCTGACAGGGCATGTGACATTATTGTTGCATGTGCCGTACTGCACAACATTGCCACCATCAGAAGAGAGAGGACCCCCGTGGTGGAGGTGCAGCCTGATGATGACCTCCAGCCAGTGCACCTGGACCAACCTAGTGGCAGAGCTGCACGGGACAGGATTGTGCAACACAATTTCGCATAATAAAAACATGACATGACACATTTTCTATTGACGTTTATTTGAGCATCGTTGTCTGTCCCACCACACACAGGCCAGTCATCAGTTGCCTGGGAAAACAGAGCATGTATACTGCGTCACGCAGGGTCAGCAATAGTGCTCCGTATGAACATGTATTCCTACTTACTCTGGAGTTCCTTTTGAAGCACCTCGATTTCCAATTGTAGTTTATGCCTCATTAGGGCTTGTAGTTCGATCTCACCTAGGAGCTTTTGTTTCTTCAGCTCAGTGTACTCTATTTTCTGCTGGAGACTTCTCTTGTAGAGCAGACGTATGTCACCCTGTGTCAATTGTGGTGACAACATTTAACGGGGAATACATGTCATATAGGCAGTATAATTGATCACAACACTGCCCACCTCTGCATCAGCAGGCCTCTCTGCCGGCCTCTTGGCCTGCAAATCATACTGCAGTCAGACACACATGGCAGTACACAAGTAGATGGTATTTCAGGCCAAATCATGCATGTACTCACAGGGTCTTCCGCCACACCACAGCCATCTGACAGGGTTGCGTCACTGTCCTGTGCAATGGTAACACAATGGTGTTACTAAGGGGTGTGGTACAGCCTATAGGTCTGTACAATTGGGTGGGGACAGATATATGTATATCTCCCAACTTACTGTGCATGTTCCAGTCACCCCTTCCATGGGAACAGGTAAAAGTGATGGTGTGTCATGTAACACTACACACAGAGAAAACCCACAGTGCCAATGAATGAATGTCACAGTTCGAATAGCATTTTCATTTAGGCAACAACCACATATTTGACATTGTGCACATGGAATCATGAGCCCATTCACCAGTTATGTAGGTGCTGCTGCTACTGCACCCCGGCTTCTGGTCTCCGGAAGAGCTGCCCCCAGGGATGCCCTCAACAATGGGTCTGGTGGCATTCAACCTTAGGGCCAGCTCCTCTGCTGGGGTGTGACGAGGGGGTGCAGGACCACCACCTGTCTTTTGTTGCTCTGCCCTTTTCTTGGTTGCTGTTATACACAAACACAGGGATTGTTTCAGGGGTGTCTTTTCAAGTGACTGACAGCAATATGAGTGTTGGATATTACCATTCTGTAGTATGTTCTTGTATTTCACTCTTACTTGTTCCCATGTTCTGGTGGGTCCGGTTGTGGCTCTAATGTGTAAGAGGATATCATGTGGTATGATTTGATATGATAAAATATGATATGGTATGGTGCCATGTAATATGTTGCATTACTTACGCGTTTAATTTGTCAGCAACTTTCTGCCAGCCCTCTCTCCTTGCTTTTGCAGCCTTCGCACTGTTACCTTGCGTTTTAATTTCACTCTGGTACTCCTGAAATCCCTCAATCAGGAGTTCTTGCTCCGCTGCGGTGAAGTACTGTGCGCGCTCCTTCGACATTTTCGCCGACCAATCAGAGGCTTGCCGATCACTGTTTCTGCTATCGATGCGTAGCCCCTTTTACGGCACCCAGTGATCGCGCATTACTTCATCCAGCTGTAGTAATCGTCAACAGCAGGTGTGTTCGGGGAACCGGATTAGCGAGCTCACGGTTAGCGCGATGATTTGATCTTGGATGTGTCATTTGATCTTGGATGTAGTAAGCGACGTACGAAGAACGGGCCCCAGGAACACAGCAACTTTCCTCTCATCCTCTATTTTGTTAGCCAGACAATATTGTTCATCTCTCACCACATGTTGTTCAATCCTCTTTGCCATTATCAAAAATGTCCATTTGTCCAACGCCTCCTGACATTTTCTCAGTATTTTCAAAAACATCCTTCACTTAAAAGAACTGATGTTACTCACGTCCTCTCTGCAGCGCACTAGCCAGGCGAGTGAGTTAGTATCCACACGGATGATTAGTTGTTTTTGCCGTAACCTTTTTCGTGTCTTTTGGCCACTTTCACAAGGATTTCCCCTCCTGTCGTCCAGTGCACATTGGAGATCCGTTTTAATGCCATTTTTCGGCTAAATTATCCACTGCCGCGCTATGCATTCTGGGATATGTTGGGCCACGAAGTCTACACTGCCACAGCCTTAAAATTCAGGGAAATGAAGGACGCATTTCACGGCCGCATTTGGAGCAGCCTTTGAATTGGGACAGCCTTCGGCGCGCCGCTGTGACGTAATCGGCCTTGAAATGCGTACTTTAAGGCTGCAGACCCTGAATTGGGATACAGCCACTGACATGAGACAACCCTTCACAATAAAACAGGAAACAAGAAACAGACGCAGACTTGACACTGAACCTATACTAAACACGAGACACAACCTAAGAACTAATCCCTCACTAAGAATAACAGAAACATGGAATACCAATAAACAAAATCACCGGGATACAAACCATAATACAAAGTAATATAAGAACTGAAAATGCTGGGTCAAAATGACCCAGAACCGTGACAAAAGCCCAGAGTTCAGTTTGGTCTTGAATTCTTTTAGTTTCTTCTCCACGTTCAACGACCGATTTACTTTTTGGTCCTTTGTGAGATGAATTTCCAAATATCTTATTTCTGATTTAACAGGAATCTTACAGTTTATCATTTATGGCAAAGAGTTCACAGTTATTAGGATTTAACGTTAATCCAGATGTCTTGGAGAGTTTTTACATTTTTCACTAGTTATTGGAGCTTGATTTGTTTTATCTTGAAGATGGCTGTTAGAAAGAGTGTGTGTGTGTGTGTGTGTGTGTGTGTGTGTGTGTGTGTGTGTGTGTGTGAGTGAGTGAGTGAGTGAGAGAGAGAGCGCGAGAGGTTGCGTCTTGATTTAAATCGAGTAGTTAATAGTCAGTAAGTGTCCGGCTGCTCCTGTATGCGATTAGAATGATGCCACCTTATCCCATAGTCCAGCCAATGATGCGATTCACATTCGTGTATATACGCAGCTAATCAACATGGTTGACAGGCTATGACAGCGTCCTTATGTGTTTTAGCTAGCAAAGCGGCGTGGCTGATGTGGAGTGATACATCTGCTGTCAGGCCTGCAGGTATCAGGCTGTTGTTCTCCTTTATCTCATAGTGGACAGAAATTATTTTTTGCAGTGGCACAAATAATTTGTGTGGCATCAGATTTGATGCCGAACAGCTGATTGTTCTGTAAATAGTTTGAAATGTTTATTTTAAAAACGCCTTGGCTGCATTTTTAGGTAAACAGCTGCAAAAAACTTTGTTGTTTGCATAACTCACATAACTCATAACTCAAACATTACAAAATCCAAACTCTGAACTGCAACTATGCCACAGAGCTTCATTCCAACACATCAAATTAATGACGTTCCTTTCAATAAACCTTGGACGCACACAATTAACAGGAGTAACATCCCCACTAATCTGCCTGTTAAACCTAGCTAACCCAGCCTAGTCTACCGTACATACTGGCGATGGGTATTTATGTACCTCCATACCGTCAGCTGTGAGGAAGACAAACTGTCTTAAACACAAACTGCGGCGGTACTCCCAAGCCAATGGCTTCAGCCGCCTGATGCACAATAGAAAGCAAATCAGTACAACGCCTAATGCAGGTGAAACTGCTGAAACCTAACAGGGGAATAAGACTCCTGATTGAAACAGCTGTGTGAAGCCACAGGCTTACTCTAAAAGGCAACAGCGAACCATAAAACTCTCACCAATAAAACTATATATAAATAATCTAATAAAACCTACAAACTCTTCTGTTGACAAGTTGTTGTGGCTCCTCCAGCAAATGTCCGCAGCAGGCTAAACATGAGGACGCTGATGACGACAACAACAAACACATGAGATGCACTTCTGCACTATTTGCTCCTTTAATTCCACGTGTTACTGTCCACTATACAAATCAGCACATCGAACTATTAAACAAATGCACAGACTGCACAAACACAATGACTGCAACTCACAAAGAATTACACCAATTACTACACCAAACTACAACATCGGCCTATGGCATCAATTAGTGCATAAAACATACATCAAGTTACAGCCAAAAATGCATCAAAATGACTCAAGCTGGGGTCAACAGGTTTCCCCTCATGCTCACCCGACCTTTCTGCTCATCAGGTGCAGTGAACAGATGAGTGCAACCACATTTATCACCTAACACGCCCACGAGTCACGCCTCACACCCGTGCACCAATACAAGGTGTGCATTTAAACCAACCCTCTTAATCCAAAACAAAAAGGAACAACTCATATGGCTCCTACACTTGCGCTCAAGAACTCAGTCCTATATTTTAGGTTATTCTGAATAAATCGTTCATGCCCTCTCT